CGGGCCAGGGGCGCGCCGGGCGCCGGGCAGCAGCGCGCGCAGCAGCGGCAGCTCAGCTTGCGCAGCATCCAGTTGAGCACCTGCTTGATGAGGATGGAGATGACGTTGAAGAGCGAGTAGATGCAGCACACGCCCAGCAGGATGAAGAGGAAGTTGCCCAGGCGGTAGAGTCCCTGGTTCCGGTAGGCGGCGCGCTGGCTGCTCACTAGGTCCCCGAAGCCGATGGTGCTGAAGGTGACGAAGCAGAAGTAGAGCGAGTCCACGTAGTCCCAGCCCTCCACGCTGGTGTACATGGCCGAGGCGCAGCACGACAGCAGCACGGCGAACAGGCCCAGGATGAGCAGCACGTGGTACACCGAGGGCTTCCAGCCCGCCAGGCTGTCGCGGCGGAAGGGGGCGGGCAGCAGGCCGCTGCGACGGAGCTGGTGCTCCCGGCAGGCGCGCATGATGAAGGCCAGCAGCGAGATGATGCGCTCCAGGAAGAGGTTGAAGAACAGGATGGTCCCGGCGCAGCCGAACAGCCCGTAGGCGATGAGGAAGGCCTTTCCGCCCACCGTCGCGGGGGTGGTCATGCCGAAACCTGTGGAGACAGGGCGAGGGTCAGCCAGGTCCCGGACGGGCGGGGGGAGGGGCTGGCGTGGCTGCTGTCCTGGGTGGCACCACTCAGGTGGAGGGGAAACAGTACTTAGACATTTCTCTCCCTTGGCTGTACTAGGTATGGTTCCTAATCTTGGCAACCCCTGAACAGATGTGGGAGACATGGCCCTTCATCTTGGAGATCTATAAACCAAAGGGGTGGGGCAGGGTAGTCACTAGAACGGACCCATCAGGACACAAAACAGAAACTGCTGCAGAGGTGCAAACCACTGGGATGCTCACAAAGCCAAGTGATACCTGCTCGCCCACCCGTGGCACATCTGGGCAGACAACCTTGTCAGGACAGAATTCCGTCAGGGCTTTGCCTTAATCTGGATTGCTCACTCTGGGACCAGTTAGAGTGTGATCAGGTAGCTATAGTTAATGGTCTCTGAAAAGGTCTTTAAGAAGCTGATAAAAGGATCATTTTAGAAGGAGTCCACCCTCATCCTTCAGAGAGTCAGCCTGGCTCTGCTATTGGGTGTCAGCTCCTTCTCACCCAAGGATCACTGTCAATCACTCTTCCTTCGCTTGTGGCCAAAGGGAAAGGTTTCGGCCCAGCTGGGTCCTGTGCAGCTGGGGTGTGCCTGGGGTTGCTTTTGTCCTGGGTGTTGCTTTGGAGCCTTATGATTAAGTCTTAACTTACCCATTTGTTCAAAGCACAGTTTTTTTTTTTGTTGTTTTTTTTTTAAAAGATGACCGGTAAGGGGGTCTTAACCCTTGACTTGGTGTTGTCAGCACCACGCTCACCCAGTGAGCGAACCGGCCATCCCTATATGGGATCCGAACCCGGGGCCTTGGTGTTATCAGCACCGCACTCTCCCGAGTGAGCCACGGGCCGGCCCTCAAAGCACAGTTTTTAAGGGAGTCTCTATCAATTTATTTCTGCAGAAAGCTTGGCCGCCTCCCAGTGTACTGCACCATGCCATCCAGGGCAGTGAACAGTAGCAACTCTGCCCCATCAACCTGAGCCTGCTGCCAGCTCCGGTTTCTTTGTGGGACACATGGTTGCCTAACTCTGGTTATGGGAGGGGGGTCAGTCTCTTGGTGGGAAGATTCACTTGCTGCTTGGAGTCAGAGCTGAAAATGGATCATGTGTCTGAGCAGCACCATGGCACATTTCAACACCTCTGGTAGCAAAAGTTCAAGGGCATCCCTATTTAATTCATGACAGATGGCAGAAGGGCTACCTGTGCACTGCCAGTGGGGTGGGGCCAGCCCTGGGAAAGGGGTGGAGAAGAGTTTTATCCCATGTGGATTATTATTTTCCCTGAGTAGAATATGGAAAATATTTCTCATAATAATTTCAGAGTAAATTCCTTGAACCTGCCTGCTAATCCTTTCCTAGATTCCCTGGAGGAAATGCCCAATTGCCTGATGATGGTGTTCATCTTATGCTTAATAACTCAAGCTAGGGGAAAATCTTGTGACAGTACCCATGTTGAGGAAGATGGGTTATGTCCCTAGATTCCAAATTTGTCCACAAGTATATGGGGAAAAAAAAACAAACTAGCAGTGCAACCAGGAACTTGATAAATTCTGCTGTAGTTTAAAGCAAAACTAACATTCTTGAGTTCATAAAGAAATCAGCTCTGAATTTATATCTCTATATGTGGAGTGTGTGTATTTATAAAAAGTCCTAGATTGATAACCCAAATGTCCAGCAACATAACTAAATCACGATCTAGTCATGCAAGGGAATCCTGTACAGCCGTGAAAAAGCACAAACCACAGCTACTTTCAACCACATGGATGAATCTCACAAAAGGAATGTTGAATAAAAGAAGCTGGACACAAAATAACACATTATGTATTATTCCATTGATATAAAATTCAAAACCAGGCAAAACCAAACTATAGTTGACCCTTGAACAACGCAGGGGTTGGGGTTCTGACCCCCTGCACAGTCAAAAATCCTCATATAACTTTTGACTCCCCCAAAACATAACTACTGATAGCCTCTTGTTGACCAGAAGTCTTACTGGTAACATAAACAGTTGAATAACACATATTTTGTACGTTAATGTACTATGTACTCTATTCTTACAAGAAAGTAAGTTAGAGAAGAGAAAATGTCAAGAAAATCATAAGGAGGCCGGCCCGTGGCTCACTCGGGAGAGTGTGGTGCTGATAACACCAAGGCCACGGGTTCAGATCCCATATAGGGATGGCCGGTTTGCTCACTGGCTGAGCGTGGTGCTGACAACACCAAGCCAAGGGTTGAGATCCCCTTACTGGTCATCTTTATAAAAAAAAAAAAAAAAAGAAAAAAAAGAAAATAATAAGGAAGAGAAAATACATTTATAGTACTGTACTGCGTTGATACCGTTAGTTTACATTGTCTGTTTACAAGAGGAATCATCTGTCTGTCAGTACCTACATCAAGTCAATATTTCTAGGCTATTTGGTTTGTCTGTGAGGTTTTTCAAATTGTCTCAAATCTCCAAAAATTTTTCCCAATATATTTATCGAAAAATATCCACACATAGGTGAGCCCATGCAGTTCAAACCCATGTTGTTCAATTGTCTACTGTACGGTATTTTTTTTAGGGATGCACACTTGGTTGGTAAAATTATAAGGAAAAGTGAGTAAGTAAAAAAAATTGTTTTGATAAAAGTCAGAGTTGGGGCCGGCCCGTGGCTTACTCGGTAGAGTGCGGTGCTGATAACACCAAGGCCGCGGGTTCGGATCCTATATAGGGATGGCCGGTTTGCTCACTGGCTGAGCGTGGTGCTGACAACACCAAGCCAAGGGTTGAGATCCCCTTACCGGTCATCTTTTAAAAAAAAAAAAAAGTCAGAGTTGGGGTTTTCTCTGGAGGGTGGCAGGGAGTAGTGACTGGGAGGGGACATGGGGGCCTCTGGGGTTCTAGAAATGCTCTGTTGAACTGCGTGGTGGTTATATGGATGTTAGGTGAAGAATAACCAGTTAAACTATGTTTTATGAGTTTCTTGTACTCTCATTTTTTAAAAAACTTAATTTCTAGACTGTTAGAAACTGTAAGGGACTTTAATTCTGATCTCTCCCCACACTGTACAGGTAAGGGACCAGGGGCAGAGGGGATGTGACCTGCAGTTGTTGGGGACAGACTGTGTCCATCCACGTGTCCTGGCTTCTAGCTTGGTGCTTAGACCAGTATACACAGTACTGCTTCTACTCATGGGAAGAAAAGAAAACCTTTAAAAGAGGGACCGCTTTGCTAGATTCCTTACAGAAATTGAAAATTCCAAGCCTGGAAAATTAATACTTTGTTTAGCTAAGAGAATGTTGAATCAGACTTTCCTATTTTTCAGGATTTTTAGCTAGTCTCAAAGCTGAGAACAGTATGTGGTATGTTACTCCCCATTCTAAGGAGAACTTCTAGACACATCCATGCTGGACTGACTGAAACAGAAAAATGGGCCTGGTTTCTAGGACCACCACCTCCAGGCTGTACGGAAAGGCCAGAAGTTATCCAGGGATTGATGGAAGATGGGCCTGACGTAGGAGAGTTGTGGTGGTGGGGGGAGTGCTGTGACATCCTCCACCCGCTCCCAGGCCAAGTGGGGTCAAAAGAACCTCTGGGGCTGCAGCAGGAGAGCCCGGCAGCTCACTGCCCAGCTGGATGCGGGTTGAGCTGCAAAAACTTGCAGGCAATCCCAGGGGTGCTGGAGTGCAGCATGGTAAGAGTTCTGGGAGAAACAGTGTCCCCTGCAGTCTGGAGCTGTGCTGGCAATTTCTGTGGGTGGGAGGCTGACACCGGGGCAGCCTGCACAGGCAGGGGAAGAAGAGGGCAGTCATGGGAGCAGGCTGCACTTCCAGGCTTGCCGAGTCAGGATGCGTGGCAGTGACGGGTCAAATGGACACTGGAAAGAAGAGATCTGAAGAGGCTGCCCATGGGAGCTGCCTGCTGGAACAAAGTGGCCTTGCCAATAAGAGGCTGAGGGGCAGAGGGCTGAGGATGGCATGAGAGGTAGTCACAGGACAGAGAATGGAGGGGGCAGCACCCACACAGGGGATGGGGCAGGGCAGTGGTCTCCAGGAAGGGGATGCTCCAAAGGACCCATAAATAGGCCCCATGGAAGGGCATGCCTGTCTTAACAGTGGGCATTGCAGCCCACCTGCAAAAGCCAAGCAAGAGTGATCGTGGCTCCAGTGAGGTAAGACCAAGGGCAAGCAGATTCCCACCCCCACCGCGCACTGCAGGTCCCTCAGCCGCATCGCAGGCCAGAGCTGGAGGGAGAGGCTAAGCTTTGATTAGAAGTGACTTTGAAGATTTGATGTAACATCTGAAAGCCTCAATCAGAATGAGCCTCAATCTAAAAACTATTTGGAAAACTCTAGCATCTACCTAAGACGTTAGGATCGAAGTGGGGTGCGTAAAGACAACAGATGAAGACGAAGCCATTTCTTGTGTTGGCCCACAAAATAAGCTGGTTGCGCCTGGACTGCTCTCTGCTATGGTGAAGGCCACCACCTAACCATGACAGCCTCACGCCATACACCGCGCCAGCCCCGTGCCATACACGGTGCCAGCCCCGCTTGTATCATGTCACCTTATCTCCACCCAAGGGGAAGGCCAGCCCCATTCAGATGAGCAAACCACAGGTTGAGGAGCAAAGCAGCTGCCAGGGCCCCACAGCCGGGGATGGTGGCGCTGAGACTGGACCACAGGTCTGTGGGCGTGTGAAGTCCGGTCGCTCCACCGCACCAGACTGCCTGCTGTGCAGCCCAGGACCCCCACTGCTCTCAGAAAGCCACACTGCTGTCCTTCAGGACTGCAGCCAGGAGAGCACTTTCCTGGGAGAGTGGCTGCCCCTCAGAGTCGTGGCTCTTGTCCCCAAGAGCCCTCTGTCTTCTGTGGCTCTTCCCCCTGGTCATTGCTTCCTCCTTGACTTGGGGAGGGGAGAGGAGCTGCTGCTTCTCCCTTAAGGTTTCTGCCAAGGGGGCCTCATCACCTTACC